AATACCGTCCAAGGTCTGAAGTTTTAATCAAGTGGACGGAAGCTCCAAACGAAGATGCAACATGGGAAAACGAATGGCGCTTTAACAAGTCCTACCCAGATTTTTATCCTTGCGGACAAGGATCCTTAAAGGGAGAGGAATGATACGTGAATGTTGTAGGACTTAGACTTAGTCAATAGTCTGTTAGTTATTTTCCATTTAATAAGCTAGTCTTCAGCATGTTGATTTAATTGCCAGGTTAGCTGGTCTTAATTCTTTCCTAAGTTTTAGCATTGTTTGTTATTTTCCAGCTTTGAGACTATTATAAATAGTCCCCCAAAATGATCAATAAAGAACGTCGAGAATTCCAGAGCCTTCTTCATCCTCTTCTTCTCTTCTATTTTTTCTTCCTGAAATTTGAACTTATCAAGATGAAGAGTCACAAAGGCAAGAACAGCCCATGTTCAGAGATCTGATTTTCCTTTACCCACAATTGTAGAGGCATTATACAAGAAGGGTTTGACAACAATACAGGTTTCAACCGTGTAAAAAATAAAACTTTTTTCCATTAGAAATTTTGAAACGAGTCTTGAATATAGTTGTTTTTTTGTTTTGTTTACAGAGTCATTGTGATCATCGAGATGGAAGCTCTAAGGGTCCGTTTGATTGCAAATGTGGAAAATGTGTGGAAGGAAAATGTTTTACTAGGAATTGAATTGCCTAAAATTTGATTTACTAGGAATTGTAATTAATTGTGTTTGATTGGTATAATTTTTCATCTGAAAAATGTTGAAAGTTTGGTATCCGTTTGATTTTGTTTTTCATGAAAATTGTCCATTAAAGTGGTAATTTTTTCTACCATTGTGTTTAGAATTTGTTCCAATTGCCAAAAAATAATAAAAATTATTATACCGAATATCATTCGTTTGTCTTTGTTTTGTATGGAGATTGTCAATAAAAGTGATAAATTTTTTTGCCATTGTGTTTAGAATTTTTTCCAATTACAAAAAACAAAAAATAAAAATGAAAATGAAAAAGCTAGAAAATGAAAATCCAACAAAACAACGAGAAAAGAAATTCAAGTGGCACGTGAGTTTTAAAATAGAAAATGAAATCCATGGAAAACTTTGCAAATCAAACAAGGAAAAAGGTGGAAAGTGAGAAAGTTTTTCATAGTTCTAGGGAAAAGAACTACAATCAAACATAACCTAAGACTCTGAGGTTATGAAGATACACATGAGTATGGTAAGTGTCTCTGTTGTTGGCAATTTGAAAAATGAACTTTCTTGATGTATTTTTTAATGTTTTTGTTGGAATTTTGATTTTAAACGTATGTGCATGTTGATTGCTCTAATCCCTTATTTTCATGTTCACCCAGCCGTGTATACAAACTACTTCACAATGACCATATAAAGTGGGGTTATTCTTTGATAAATTGAATAGTGTGAAGTACGAACATGGTACGATGAGCCAGAGTATTTTAATAGGGATTGGTTCAAGGCTTTTGTGCCTGTGTGTGGAGGCTATGGGCCTCTAAAATCTTACTTTAGGCTACAGAAAGACAGTTTAGGTAGTGCTTTGAGAAGGTTGAATAGTGAATTAGATGTTAGGGAAATGTTGAAGGACGGTAAAGGACATAAGTTGCTTGAGATTTACGCAGTTGTACATAGCGAGACACAGGCACTACCCTTCCTGTGTACACAAAGAAGTCTAGGAATTCAAAGAAGAAGCAAAGAAATGAAGCTAATGAAATACCGACACTGTCCAACTCCACGGTCTCTGCCGTTAAAGCTTCTTCAAGGAAGTTAATGGTGATAAGGCGTTCTTTATGTGATGCAGCAGGCACAATAAAAGGAAGTAGGAAGTGCAAAGGTTGGGAAGCTCTTGCTGCAAACTGACCAAACAAGTCTAGGAAAATGCCATTTTTTGTAACCATCATTTTGTGTTATTTAATGGAATGCTTTTGAATGTTTACAGTTCGTAATGTGAATAGTTGTCATTGACGTCTAGTAATTTTTTGATGTTCATGAAAAAATCACATTTTATTACTATTTGGTTCTTTGGTTTGTATGAACGGGTTCAGTACATAGGTTGTAATTCGTAACCTTCGTCTTTCCAAGATTGTTTCGTTTGCAGTTACATAAACGTAGGGTTTATATGCACAAGGTTTATAATAATCTAAGTTCGTATATCACAATTTTTAACGTGTTTAAGGTTATTTTTTTGCAACTTTTTTAATGTTTAGGTAACCATTACAAAAATTGTACACGACGTCACAACATTAACTAACATCCATTCAATACACATATCTACAAAGGCATTGAAGCTCTATTTTCTGCCAAAAACCCACATTACTAAACATCCACACAGAAACCCAAACACCCAGGACTTGAATTCAAAAGCACTATTTTGCCTCTACTGTTCCAAGAACTATTGTTAATGTGCATTCCTGGATCTCAACAGTCCAGGTGTGATCTCCATAGGTCTATGATAAATAGATGGGTTACACCACGAGAAATACTCACAATTTCCATTCTGCTGTAAAAGGGAAAAAGGAAAATCGTAAAAATTGAAATTGTGTGTGGGTTATCATTACCAAACGTCATGTGCATGTCCAGAATCGTTTTCCCGGATTCGCTACTATCCACATAGTCGCTGAATCCTCATTCCACACCTTCGCAAATGGGACTCCATTGTTCTAAGCTAAGGCTGAAGTGGGGGTTTCAGCTAGGGGAGAAAGATGTTGTGGGTTTCGACATCAAAATTCATCATTTGAATCTAACGACATAGTGGACAGAGGCTGACGGTAGGGGGTATTCTGCACAAAACATTTCACAGTTTTGTGATATTTCCGAAAGATAGGGGGTTTTCGACAATTAGACTAATAGATAGTGATATTATGTTGTTTAGCCTATTTAAATTGTCAATGACTTTTAAAGACTTCTATAAAAATTTCTAAAGTACTGGCTTTTATATAATTAAAGTGACTTAAATTTTTATTTTTAAAAAATATTTTTTATTATGAGTGGAGGGGAATTGGAATTGTGAGAATCATCGCATTGTACTTGAGAACTTTACACTGTAGTACTGGACCTACGCGAATTTTATTTTAAATGAAAACCTTCAAAAGTCTTTTGAATTTTACAAAAGTTTATAAAATTTTAAAATAAAAATCTATAAAAGTCTACAAATGACATCTATGAATTCCATACAAGTCTATAAAATCTCACGAAATCTACAAAAATCTTCACTTTAAAAATCAAAAAAAGTCCCAAAAAGTAAGAGGTTAGTTCATAGTTGTTAATTTTTGAGTATTATTGAACAAAAATAAGATTGATTAGAGATTTCGAGATTTTGCCCTTGTTTGACAACCATTATTTGGAAAAAAAAAATATTTTGAATAATGATTTTTAAGAGAATGTGCAGTTAAAAAGTAGAAAATAATTTTGGGTTTGTACATAATATTTTATTATGTGAATATGTGATTGAAAATGAATATATATAAGAAAAAAAGGGGGTGGGGGAGGGTTCCAAGCAATGGTTGTCAACCAGGGCTAATATAAGCCCCTATTTAATTTACATTATTTTTTTCATTCTCATTCTTCTACTCATTTCCAATCACACATTCTTTAATAAAATAATATTTTTCATCACATTAATAAATTTTCCTTCTTTTTCAACCACATATTCCCTATCACATCACTTCAAAAAAATGCATTATCTCATTTTAATATGCACCAAATGGGCTCTAACTCTTCAGCAAAGAGATTCTTCAACTCTATATATAGTTGCGTTTGAGTCACTCATTTTTAATTTGTTACAACCAACTCACCTAACTTTTATTAGTTTACACATCTAGTTACTCATATTCAATTTGGTTCAATCAGATTACCTAACTTCGATTTACTTGTAAATTTGCGTGTCACTATTTCTATTATCATCACTTTGCTAAAAAAAATATATTATTTTGCACTAAATATAATAGATAGCTAACGTGTTGGTATTTATTTTTCAGGCTTAGAATATATTAACGTTTTTTAATTAGTGAGGGAAAATGAGATGAGAATTGAAATGTGATTATAACAATTTCAATGTAGCTGAAATTTGGTCTCGTTAGGACGCACCTTCAACATTATCGTTGATGGATTTGGAAATCAATAATATCCCACAAATCAGCCATTATTTCACGTATAATATGTAAAGTGTGAAAAACAAGTTTTGTAATAATGATTATTTGGAGAATGTGTGATTAAAAGTAGAAAAAAATTTAAGTTTATGGGAAAAATTATTTTATTGAAATAATATGTTGTTGAAATTGAGTTTTGAGAAAAATGAATTTTTAGATAATGAAGGTCAAATGGGACGTAATATAAGAATAAAAATAAGTCAAAAGACAATTTTCGTGTTACCCATTTGTCTTGCTCTTGTAAAAATTAAGAAATTTGAGGAGTCGGAACTATTGAGCTTGTCAAAATTCACCAGCGCCATCGCCATCGCCATCGTCATCGCCATCATTAAAACAATATCTACCATCACTCAACCATTACTCAAGATCTTGGCAAACCCATCGTGGACTCTTGGAAAATTAGCCCCAATACTCCCAACCCCATAAACCAAGACCATCTTGTTATTCACCTACAACTAACATTCAGAAAGTGACATGAAATCAATACTCAACAGATTAAGTTCCGTTTGTCTACCATTATTTAAAAACTCTTTTTTTCTAAAACTCATTTTTATTTATACATTCTCATAGTAAATATTTTGCACGTAAATTCAAAATTTTTATTTACTTTTTAGCCATACATATTCTTCACAAAATCAATATTCCAAAATGCATATTTTCCAAAATAAATTCTGCAATTTTCATATCATTATTCAGCAATCATGATTAACAATCCACAAATCTGATCAATATATTCTTTGTCACTATTTCTGTTTTTCTTTTTCCTTCCCAATATTCATATGGATAGATTATTGAAACCCCTATCAATAACAGCAGAAAATTATTTTAAAAATAATCACTTTTTTTCATCTGACTTATCCTTCTTGGATTGAACCCTCCCATCCGTTCCTGCAATCATAGCATACTTATCTTTCCTAGTCAAATTTGTGCACTCATAACCTAATGTACCAGCCAGCACCCTTTGAATATAATTTGCAACTTCAATGGCAGATTTTCCACCCCTGCAAGTGAGCTCTGGAGGCAGTTGATTCAAGAAAGTGATCTCATAAACGGGTCTCGGGTTCATGAAAACGAAATACGGATCCAACAATTTGTACCCTCTGGCCGTCGTCCCGTAAAATACACTTTGTTTTGTGTTGATCGCCACTGGCACAATTCTATCAGTGAGTTCGGCAAAAAGTGCACTAAACCTTAGCAAAAATGGCTCTCTACATGTTGTACCCTCGGGACATATTACTAGGTCGCCTTCTTCGAGCAAACGTTTGATATTTTCCGCGTCCTTTTCTCGTTCTCTCGATAATGCAACTGCTTTAATAGGTGAAATGAGTTCAGAAAATTTACTTATGCTATAAGTGACACAACTTATTTTCCGGCCTAGTGCCACCGCGGTGACAACCGGGTCGAGGACTGTACGGTGGTTGCAGATGAAGAGAACGCCGCGTCTGCCGGAAGTGGGAGGCGGAGGAGGGGTGCCTTTGACAACGAGCTTAATTCCAAGAATCATATAGTTGTATCGAACAATTCTTTCTGGCAAAGGGATGTTCAAATAAACCCTAATGAGAGAGAGAATAATTCCAATTGGCATCCATAAGAAGGAGACAAGAGCCACTAGCGGTGTTGGTTTTTGTACTAAACGACCCTCATGAAAAATGACTGGGGACAGAAGTTTGTTCCTTGGTAGTGCCTCAATTCTTGTTCTGGGAACCATGTATCCTTCCTGCAGTTAACATGGACAAATTAATTTATTGTATATAACTTATATATAGAAAATAAATTTAAAAAATTCTTATTATAGGGAAAATTGCATTCTTGGTCTTCATCAAACTATTGTCCCAGTAGCAAGTCAGTCCTCAAACTTTGTAGTTTCAAGAATAATCCCAAAAGACAGAAAGTGTTAATTTTTTTACGATTGTCACGTGGTTTTCCATCTTCAACTTTAAAAAGTTATAACTTGGAAATGTGTTCAAAATTTGGAGTCAGACATGTTTTCATAAGGGTCACATGACAATTTAATGAAGATTTCGACGATTTTCGACATAAGTAACTGATTGTGAGATTATAACGAAATGTTTAAGGGCCGGACCAAATACTAATTCCTAAAGGTCGATGACTTATTTGCTATTGTGGTAATAGGTTACACAAGCATAGTCTTGGTCGTTTTGATAGGTGCACGATGGTGGGGAAAGGGGGTGGGGGTTGGCAAAGAAACAATACTCTTGTGCCAATCTAATTGAGGCAATAAATGAAGCATACTAACCTTTTTTATGTCCTTATTGGAAAAATAGTACAAATGTAACTAAAGTGTGACCTTTCATGAGATAGATATGTTGAGTGAAAAAAATGAAAAACTGTTGGAAGTAAGAGATGCGTGTTGGATTTAAAGTACATGCCAACCCTTTGACAACTACATATAATGTGACTATCTGCATTCAATTAATTATTGACAAGAACAAGTGATGGAAATGAAACATGAAAAAACACACACACCATTAAACACTTGACTCATTATTCCCACCTGCTTGTCATGGACGTGATATTAATATACCCAACATTCAATCTTGGAGTTAAATGTTCTAATAGTAACTTGTGATGTAAACCCAACATTATTGAAAATAATAATAATACCATGTATGTGAGATTGAAAATAAATTACCTTGCAAATGGACATGAAATCATGGTCTGTCTCTCTGTCCCCAAGACCTAAATCTGGTACACTTGTCCCAAATTCTTTTAAAATGGCCCTTTTTTTGTGTTCTCCAACAAGAACACCTGGTTTTTGAACAAACCCTGTTGCACGTCAAGATTATGTCACCTCTAATTCAGATCCTAAGACCTTATCAGCCCCCAAATAGTTATTAACAAAGTGTTCCACCATAACTCTAGGGCTTGCAGTGATTATATATCTTTTACCAAAAGAATTGAACACCCTCCAAGTTTCAGGGTGCACATCTTCAGCATAGAATTTAGGCAAAACAGACCTGGAAACAAGCTCGATGTCACGGATTTTGAGCCCCGAAAAGGCAATGAAAATAAGTGTTTTAATGGCTAGTGATTCGGATACGAATATGTATACGAAATACACGAATGGAACCGAGGCAAGAAGCACTAGTGCCCTTATCAGGCTACCAGCCTCTAGAGCAACCAGCATGAAGTAGGGAAAAGCACTTCTCGATATCAAAAGTGTGCCGTCTAGGTCACTGGCCACCGTCTGATTTGATCGCCCTTCAACNTGGGGAGTGTTGTGTGGTACAATGTGTGTGATCCAATTATGTTACAAGGGGAGGAGGGGTTTATAAAGGAATGAGCAACATGGACATGATGAGAATGCTCTTATAGATTGTGTGTGTGTGTGTGTAATATTGTATCTATCATCCTGTTTGGTGGAATTAAAATCAAATTTTTAGTCAATTTTGATAAAAGTTAATGAAGTATATAGTTAAAAAGTTGTGGGATCTATAAAATATGTGGTTGAAATTATTCGTCGACTTTGATTTAGATTAAAATTTGGATTTTAATCCATAGTGGCTATATATATTATGTGATTGAGAGAGAGAGAAAGAGAGAGTTGTATTTATTAATTATGTATGTATATAAAGATTGGCGGTTTTGAAGCTTAAAATTAAAGGATTTGAAAAGGGGGTTCAAAGTAGTTGAATGGCTACGTTAACATTCAATTAGCCTTCTTTTTAGTTTTGGGTTGCCGTCCTGCCCGCGCCATTATACTTTCAGCTTACTTTTGTATCCTCAATAGTTTCAGTGGCGACATATTTAGGTTATGCAAAATAATATTTAATTATATATAGCAGTTTCACGCCTTATATTCGATAACAAGTTGTATGCGTAATGTAAATTAGACTCGTGATATAAAGTCAACATTCTATCTCAAAATCTATCGTGCTACTCTTGCTCACCTACTAAGTTGGTCCAAAATTGGCACATAGATGTCATCTATATGTATACAAACACATACCTATAATTTTAACGGAAAAAGCCACTTATCCAGGCCCAAAAACAGGAAACAAGGAGATAGGGTGATATGTAGGAAAATGATTGGGTGTTGTGTATTTTTTTTAAAAATTGTCCAATCCGACGTCGACACGTGTCATCCCAGGATTTAAACTTGAATTTGAGCCTATTCCTATAGCATTTCTCTAGCACGCAAGTGGGCTTATGTTAAAGGTAAAAATTTACATTGCTATACGAAAACAATAATCAAAATTCGACCACCCCAAAGTTTAATGTTTAATGTAATCAAGCGGAATGGAAGCTGAGAGATAGCTGTTTAATGTTTTTCACTTAGCCTGTGACATAAGTTTCCAAGAGGTAGATGAACTCTATACTAACAACCATTGCTCAAAGATTTCACTTTACTTTTTTCTTGTTTATGAAGAAACAATTAACTTGAAAGCAATTAAACCCTAGAAATTGGGTAAGTGGAATTTTTTTGGTAGTTGGGGTTAGGAACTAATTCTGTGGTAATGCCCACAGTTTACTTTTGAGTGTAGTAACTTTATTGATTCAAGAAAATTAGCTCTTCTAGGCCATTTTCGTATTCTCTTTCTTATTGATTCAACGGATAGTTATACGTACATGGTTCACGGTGATGTATTCGAGCTCTTTGAAAAATTGGTATTACTTTTTTTTTTTAAATGAATTTTAGAAAATGGTGGTCATGGGCATAATATTATACACACACTCTGTGTGAGAAACTTGTGGACTAAGAAAATATGCTAGGCTGGGAGTGGGTGGGTTTGGGCCTTGGGGTCATGTACTAAAGTAAGGTCAAACTCATCCAACGAAAATGAGTACCAAACTCCATGGATTTTCTTCGTTTGGCACCACTTATTCTAATAACTATATTTTATGACTTGCATATATGTGATATTCAACATAATTAAGATGTGATTGTGACATAGGGGAGACATCACTTTAATACATATCTAATTCATCGAACATGTACTTCAACATGAAAGTTCTCAAGTATTCTCTTATTTATCTTTAAGTCGTAAGAGAATAATATCGTTCATATTTAATAGAGTAGTTTTGGATTCAACTTAGTCGAATTTTCAGTAATTCTTTCTATATAGCCCTTATTTGATCCCCAATTTTTTCAAAATATATTTTTCAATAAAATAATATTACACGAAAACCCAAATTTTTTCCTTATTTTTTAACCATACATTCTCCATCAATATACTATTCCAAAATACATTCTTCCAAAATAATATCCATCAAACACACCCTCAATTGTTAGAGATAAAACAATTTTTATTACATGCAAACCCAAATTTTTTCCTTATTTTTTAACCATACATTCTCCATCAATCTACTATTCCAAAATGCATTCTATACAAAAAAAAAAAAAATGAGGCTCAAACAAGCCCATAATATCGTTCATATTTAAGTAGAGTAGTTTCGGATTCAACTAGTCGAATTTTCAGTAATTCTTTTTATTTTTCATCTTCAAAAAATATCATCTTAGGGAAAATGAGATAGAAAAGAGTAAAGATTTTTTGCTATTGCTAGTAGTGTAGACTTTTTTAAAACTACGAGGTGCACTAGTTAACCTCCGAGTAGAAGTTGCATGTATCCAAGAGGTCTTCATGCCTCGATGAATGTATACATACTCAATGGAGCTCACATCGTTTATTTGATCTCATTCTTATAATAATACTCTTTTTAATTGAAATTTTAATTTTTTTTCTAAATCAAATAAAAGTTTGAGATTCCATGTTGTTGTTTATGCTTCTTTAAATTAATAGTGGGCATGGTCCGTTTGGTCCAATTCGATACGATTTTGAAAAAAATCGGATTAAACCGAGTGGAGCAGTTGACATGGACCGCCGTGCAGTCCCCAAGTCTCTACAACAAAGACAGCCTTCTCCCCTTGCGCAAGAGCCAGAAAGCCCAGGACAATTGACACATACACTTATGGATAGGGTGCTACACAATACTTGTATATGAGACACAATTAATACATTTTTCAATAATATATGTTACATGTCTAATTGTTGGCGACCTTGTCGTATTACATGGTGTGAGGAGTATGTTCCGTACGTGACATTCATGGGCGGACCTAGGGGGGTTCCCCCCAACTTTTGAGTTTTTTTAATTTTTTTTTATAAAATCGTATTTGGTATCGATTGAAATCTAAATTTTAATTTAAAACAAAGTTAACAATTAATTTCAATAATATATTTTATGGAATCCATAACTATTTAACTTTTATCAAAATTTACTAAAAATTTGATTTTAATCTCCACCACACAAGGGCAAAATCACAATAAATTTGAATTTCGATAACATGCTAATTTTACAAATTCTCTGACGATCGTACGCTAATCAAATCTACAAATTACTTATGTCATCTCAAAATTTATTTCGAGAACCACATTATGGGCATATCGAATAGTCCAAACAGATATCGAAAATATTTAAAAATATGTTAAACGTGAGTCTTACAAATGACGTCTAACTCGCATTTTTTTAAAAAATTCAATTATTTCATTAACATTTATTATTTTTGCGATACAAATTTCTCGATATAATTTTCATCATTTTATTAAGAAATTTTATATGGAATATGATATCAAAAATTTTCGAAATTTTATATCCAAAAAAATCATATCCCATGTAAATTTTCGGATGTAAAATTACACGGGGTATGATTTTTTTGGACGTAAATTTTTTATTGTAAAATTTTTCTCAAGTTCTTTACAAGTTCGATTGTGACATCCTAACTTTTAAGGTCTGCGTCCGCCCCTTGTGACATTACAAACAACTCTATGTACATAAAAAGTCCCATCCCTACATTAAATACAGTGCCATATAATCTGGTTATATACTAAAAAGAATATAGACTTTGGTGAATAATTTAATGTTTAATTTCGAAGCATTTATGAGATTGGAGCATGGAGTTGTTGAGAGTACATGGAATATCAAGTCTCAACTGTTTCGACGGCTTCCTCTTTAGCCTTCGGAGAAATAATTAATTAATACCAAACAATTCTGTGGCCAACCTCAGTTAATTAACAATCTTAAATTCGTTGAAACATGTTGCACACACTACATTAATTTTTAAGAAAAGAATTTCTTACACAAAAATTTTTTCTATCACAATCGTTGTTTGTCGACCTACTTCAAAATTCGATCACACATTGCGATAGAAAAGAAATGTCTCCTAATGTTTTTACACAATTTTAAAGTATGTTTTAGAAAATAATCTACCACAAATATGTTGGGGCTCTTCAATAATGAGAGATGATAACGATTCATAAGTTATGTAAGATTTCTCGTATTGGTTTTTATCTTTTATACAAGTAAATTCAATGAATATGCACGAAGTCACGATTGTATTGGGACTCTCTTGAAGGCGTAAATATTATTCTCTACGATACGAAAAATGGGAGAGAGCATTTTAAACGTTTTTAGGGAGACATCTAGAACTTTGAACAGTGAAAATATCGTTCATTTGTGCTTCTTAAACTTTATTTTTGAAGACTTTGAAAACTTGTGCGAATTGAAATCCGTTTAGATCACGACATTTTGTCGCGAAATAAGAATGCTGTCGAAGAAAAGTCTGGCTCGTGGGCCGTTGTGTGTTGCACAATTATGGTATCACGTGATCCATGAATAATGTTAGAAATTTCCTTAGTTACGTGTGTGAAAGGTAGTGAATTTTGGGTGCCTAATTTACAACAAACTCGTTTATAAATGTGTTCACTCCATAATTCAAACATAATCATTAATCTAGAGTCAGTTTGATAGACAAAGGTGGAAATAAATTCCAATTTCATGTTGGTTGAAAAATACAAACTCACCAAATTCATAAGAATTCGTTTTATATAAAAATAAAGAAAATGCAGCTTCAAGTGGTGGTGTCTAGGAATTCGGTTTCCATTTTCACGTTGCAATCAAACGGCCAAGTGGAATTCGTTTCTTCTCAAATATGACATTTTCCATGGAATTCGTTGCAATCAAACAATGCCTAATATCTACTTCAATATGTTTTCAATATTTAAATAAATCTTTTTCGAACAAAATGGTAACAACCTATTCAACCCCATGCTATGTTGTTGAAACCTAAATTTATGAGTTTACAAGTAATTATTTTTCTACTTTTGAGTAATGCCAAACAAATCTTAGTCT